ACAGTGCATTATAGTCAGTCTTCTTTGCTTAAAAACAAACGCAATGCGATTTTTCTTATTGAAGTAACACGTGGAATGACAAAATATGGTTGTAAATAGCCCACTAAACTAGTGTTTCTCAGCCTTTTTTTGCTCGTGGCTCTCTTTTGAATTTGATTTATCTCTGTGGCTCCACCCTTCGTAGACGCTGTTACTTAGGAAAAAATTTACTTTATTTCCACACTGTTGATTTATAATATTATTTTTACAATATTTTATTGTTTTTAATTATTTTGTTTATAATATACTGTTTACTTATACAAGTAAAAAATATTCTGTTAATCATGGAGTGGCGCGCCGCACATTTTGATTGAAACTCGAGTACTAGTCGCGTCTGCTAGGCCCGGCATGGCCAGGTGGATAAGGCGCTCGACTCGCAATCTAAGGGTCGCAGGTTCGAATCCCCGTCCCACCAAACATGCTCGCCCTTTCAGCCGTGGGGGCGTTATAATGTGACGGTTAATACGTTGGTAAAAGAGTAGCCCAAGAGTTGGCGGTGGGTGGTGATGACTAGCTGCCTTCCCTCTAGTCTTATACTGCTAAATTAGGGACGGCTAGCGCAGATAACCCTCGTGTAGCTTTGCGCGAAATTCAAAAACAAACAAACAAGCGTCTGCTAACTTGACTTCTGAGTTGTGGGGGATACGTGGAGAGAGAACCTTTGATTAAATTTTAGATTTTAAATATTTTATTCGGGCAATGAAGTTTCGGTGGCCCACCCAAAATTTACTGTGACTCCCTAATTTTCCGCCATTCACGTGTGGCTCCTTAGAAACATGGCCCACGTTGAGAAACACTGCACTAAACAATCCTATTGCATTTGCGCTCTGATCCAAGGGATTGGGTTGACTGCACATCTTATATTTATTCATAACTATTTTCAGGAAAATTACCATTGAATTGTTTCAACGGTTATCTGCTAGAGTAATATAGTGTAGAGAAAGATTAAACATACTTCTGAGTACTCTAGTCGTATTACGTTATATTCTGTAGAGAAAATAAAGACTAAACCAGATTTATGCGCAGCTTTATTTATATTGTGTAATATATTGTAGTGAATTACAAAAACAGTTTTCTGTGTAAGTTATAATGTTGTTAAGTAAAATACTGCTGAAAATGACTAAATATTCCTCTGTGTAGCTCTAGTTTTTTTTCCTATATAAATACAAATGCAGATAAATACAAAAACAGTCTTCATTAGTTCTAGACCGGTACTTTATTGTGATGTAGAACTGAAACTGTCTTCTTTATCTGTAGCGTACTCAGCTCTATTCCCGTTACGCAGATACAGTATATTGCAAGGTGAAATCCATAAAGTATTTTTATGCAGTATATTGTAGTGAAAGAGTATTTAACAACTCCAACTCTAGTCCTGTTATACAGGACACTGTGAACCTCGACTCATTTGAGCTTTAGCAGTTTTATGCAATACATTGTAGAGCGGAACTGAAACTGTCTTTTTAGCCTGTAACTTTATTGTACAGCATATTGTAGAGAGAGAATATTTAATAGCTTCAGTTCTGTTATACAGGACACTGTGAAGTCCAACTCATTCTAGCTTTACTCGTTTTGTGTAACACATTGTAGAATAGGACTGAAACCTTCTTTCTAGCCTGTGGCTTTATTGTACAGCATATTGTAGAGAGAGAATATTTAATAGCTTTAGTTCTGTTATACAGGACACTGTGAAGTCCAACTCATTCTAGCTTTACTCGTTTTGTGTAACACATTGTAGAATAGGACTGAAACCTGATTTCTAGCCTGTGGCTTTATTGTACAGTATATTTTACGTCAGTACTAAAAGCGCCCTTTTTTTTTCGGCACTGGTCTGTGAGGCCTTGTTTAAGAGTCCTAGAGAAAAGTCTCTCGCTTTGAGTACTTACTATAGTTTTATTTTTTCTTTCTCTTACATATCCCGGGGTTTGAATCATGGTGTAATTAGTTTCTTTGGAGATTTTATATATTTAATAATTATAAAATATACATCAAATGGTAACAGAACGAACTCTCACCTCCAAAAATAGTGGGACATTTTAATCCTTCAGAACTAGAAATAATGGGTTTTATAATAATCAGAATGTAAAATATGCACTTCGACAAAGTCAAAAAACGGCAACCTTACAAAAAACGTCATTATTATATATACAATCGTATACACAGTTATCCTCCCCCTCAGTGGCACAGCGGTTTGTCTGCGAATTTACAACGCTAGAAACCGGGTTTCGATACCCGTAGTAGGCAGAGCACAGATAACCATTTATGTAACTTTGTGCTTAACTACAAAATACACAGGTGGGGGTTTAGTGGGACGCACCAAGAAAATGTGCATTATTTTACTCCCAGGTGTTAATATTTCACGATTATTCCTACAGTTTTTTGTTTTTGTCTTTCAGCGCATGCCTATGATGTCACGCCAGACATTATTAGGAAATATTTATTAATGTGAACTTAAAACGATTTAAAAGTAATTTTGCTTTTCAAACATCAGTATTCTGAAAGCAATAAATCACGTTTACACTACAGCAAGTAATCGGCAAAGACAACGTGCAAAGTAACCTAACTTTTATTTAGTTACGTGCAATTAAACCAATAATGGGCAAAGACAACGTGCAAAGTAACCTAACTTTTATTTAGTTACGTGCAATTAAACCAATAATGGGCAAAGACAACGTGCAAAGTAACCTAACTTTTATTTAGTTACGTGCAATTAAACCAATAATGGGCAAAGACAACGTGCAAAGTAACCTAACTTTTATTTAGTTACGTGCAATTAAACCAATAATGGGCAAAAGGGCTCATTAACAAGCCTTTTCTTGGGGGGGGGGGAGTGGGTAAAGGATACTACGGGAACTGTGTATTGCCTCTGATGCACGTAAGAAACAAACAAATCCTCTTTTTTTCTTCCTATTCAATTGGTCTTATAAACACTTATTATGATCTAAAACTAAACAGAGAATTTTTGCGTATTAACACTTAATAGCGTATTGCAATTTTTGTTTTTACTGTATAGCCTTCCAACTCATTGTGTTTCATTTATTTTAAAGCTGAAATCCTTTTTTTTTTTTTGCTTTCTTTCCCAATAACTCGTATCAAGCAAGGTGTGGAATCAGATGTATCTTTTTTAGTTGTTGACAGTTTTTATGACAGGGAAAAAAGGCACTTTGGGGACATAAATTCAGGAAGAAAGGGGTTTGAGACCCCCCCCCCGAGTGAACGTCACTGGGGGTTCGATGCTCGTTCACTTTACTAAACTCTAGTAAAAAAAGTTACCCCCCAGTGGCTCAGCGGTATGTCTGCGGACTTACAACACTAAAAACCAGGTTTCGATACCCGTGGTGGGCAGATCACAGATAGCCCATTGTGTAGCTTTGTGCATAACTACAAACGACAACAATATAAAAGTCACGTGACTTTCATATATTTATGATGTTTAGTTTGCCTTTCTGGACACTTCCGCAGCAGACTAGATTACTTTGTGTCGAAGTATTTTACAGTATTATTTTGTCATTTATACGTTTTGATTATATAAAAAAAAACATTAGTTCAAGGGTTTTATAGCAGTCTATGTTAGGTTAAAATTGATCAATCTTATTCATTGGATTTTTCTAATGAACCTAGCATTATGTCAGCTAGTTTGTTTGTTTATTGTGGATTTCGCGATAACGTTGAATGTTTCTCGTGTTTGTTTGTTTTTGAATTTCGCGCAAAGCTACACGAGGACTATCTGCGCTAGCCGTCCCTCATTTAGCAGTGTAAGACTAGAGGGAAGGCAGCTAGTAATCACCACTCACCGCCAACTCTTGGGCTACTCTTTTACCAACGAATAGAGGGATTGACCGTCACATTATAACGCCCCCACAGCTGATAGGGCGAGCATGTTTGGTGTGACGGGGATTCGAACCCGCGACCCGCAGATTGAGCGCCCTAACCACCTGGCTATGCCGAGCCCTATGTCAGCTAGATAAACGATCAGTGTGACTCAAAAGTGTGTTTTTTTTTCAATGTTGATACATTTTGTTATTTTTATTCTTCATGAAACAACATTAAATGTTTTGAGCAAACTTGGTTAGCAACAGCAGCTTGTGCTGTCTAACAAAGACTTCAGATTTTTTATATACATTGCATTGTATAGAACATATGACATCCTGTAAGGAAACTAACTATATAATTTTAATAAAACTTGCTTATTTTTGCAAGTCATTGAGATGCGTTTTTATAGTTTTTTGGTTTTATAGACAAGAAAAGCAGAAACCAAGAGAAAACGTTCATTAGCCTATATAAGATTTTTGCAATAATTCGTTTATTTGTTGTTAAGCATAGAGCTACACAATGGGATATCTGTGCTCACCACAGGTATCGAAACGGAGATTTTAGCGTTATAAATCTTGAGAGCCAATGGCGATCTTTTGCAATAAATACTAAAATATTTTTTGTGTGGGCCTCATAACAGTATTTAATTGTACGCAATCGATTCAAACTGTCTGATATTTATGTTGGAATTTATCAATTATCAGCGTCACATTATATGTTTTTACGGTTCTTAAAAGATTAACTAATTTTGTCATTTTATCTAAAACTCAGAGGCGTCGCAAGGTGCGTAAAAGATTCGGTGCTCGAGCTCATAAGCGCGGAAAGTTTCGGCGTTTCGGTATGATATCGAACATGGTTTTTCCATTCTGATTTTTCAAGACACCAACCGGGGATTCGGGGCATTGCCAAATAGAATCGGGTCACGGGCCCCACGTGCCAGCGCCTAGCGACGCCATTGCTAAAACTAACTACAACATTCAAATTCAAATTGGGACTTTGATTGTTTTATCGTATTTGAACATCTGAGAAAGCTGTCGTCTTAGGAGCCCGAAATTATATTTTACTAGAGTTTTTATACAACGTATCAACTTTTGGTGAAATCTTGCTGTGTAACAAATGAAATTGACTCCTAATATTTTTAAATCTTGCAGGTTGAACACGTTGACGTCATGAAGTGTTCGGCTACGAAGAATCACGTTATCCACGACGTAATTATGTAAAGGTAATTACCCATCAATAACAAGACTTATTAAAAGTAGCTTAGGTAATTGAAGAAGAGAAAAAAAGAGCTTGTTTTTCATTAGCCAAAGCAGCATAATGCCATCTGTGATGGATTACTGGAATCACTCCTGAAAAGATATTAGGAAATTAATCCTGGATTCACAAAATAAGATTACCAGCTCAGAAGGTAAAGAAAATATAAAGGTTTTGGTTAAGAATCTTGATATAATAATAAAACATAACTACATGTTTTAGACGGGTAAGTAGATCGCAATTGTAGCCGGAGAGGTTTCAAAACCTATCATATTTGGAGAAGAAAATAAAGTGTAGTACTTTTAAGTAATTATTCATTGCTTACCTTCAACGACAGGATTGACAATGTGTTAACTAACGTCTTGCTGGGAAGCAAATGTAAGTGTTGGAACGGGCTAACTTACCAGGACAAAATAAGTAAATAATGAAGTGATTAATTCAAACCTTTTAAGGAGATGATTGTTTAAAATAAGTTTAGAACCACAATAACGGAACAACACCAACTATATATGGATACAAGTTTTTACACTATCACGTGTCCTCTTCAGTCAGAGGCGGGCTGGAATACAAATAACAAACATACATACTTAAGAAGTATACGCAATTTAATGTTAAAACACTAGTCATACATAGTTTACACGATCAGTAATACACAAGATAGAATATATGTCTTCAGCAGAAATATTAAACCCTTTTAGATGCACATCCTTATTGGTTTGTTTGTTTGAAGTTAAACACAATGGGCTATCTGTGCTCTACCCACCACAGGTATCGCTATTCTAGCGTTGTAAGTCCGTATGCATACCGCTGTGCCACTGTGGGGCTCGTTATTGATAAAATTAACACACATTTTAATTTGTATCTTGATGTGATGACTATAGACAAACAATTATTTTTCTATTGTGATGACTATAGACAAACAATTATTTCTCTATTGTGATGACTATAGACAAACAATTATTTCTCTATTGTGATGACTATAGACAAACAATTATTTCTCTATTGTGATGACTATAGACAAACAATTATTTCTCTATTGTGATGACTATAGACAAACAATTATTTTTCTATTGTGATGACTATAGACAAACAATTATTTCTCTATTGTGATGACTATAGACAAACAATTATTTCTCTATTGTGCTGACAGAGAATTATTATATATTTTTCTACACATTTTTCCAAAGAAGCCCACCTAGATTTCTCCCGGGGGGGGGGTGTCAGTCCGCGTCTGTTTCTATCCATATAAATTTGGTATTGTTCCGTTATTCTGGTTTTAAACTTTATTTTATATTAGTTTACATGGTATTGTGTATTTGTCTACTATTAACGTGATCGTTTCTTCTTTAAACGACATGTTACAGTTAGTTGTTTTACATTATTCAGTACCTTTATTGGTTGTATATAGTCAGACATACATGAAAGGAGGAAATGCAGGAAATACAGCTGAGAAGATTGTGGATATATATACGTTTCTGTGTTAGGGGTAGTTAGTTTATTGGTTGTATATAGTCAGACATACATGAAAGGAGGAAATGCATGAAATACAGCTGAGAAGATTGTGGATATATATATATATATACGTTTCTGTGTTAGGGGTAGTTAGTTTATTGGTTGTATATAGTCAGACATACATGAAAGGAGGAAATGCATGAAATACAGCTGAGAAGATTGTGGATATATATATATATATACGTTTCTGTGTTAGGGGTAGTTAGTTTCAAAATGTTTTTTTCTGCGATAACTATTAACCGTAAAAATTCCTCCAAAATCATAGAAAAAGGTTCAGTATATGAATAATGTCTTTTGGCTTTATTTTTGTCTTATAATTTATCGATTTCTGTCAATTAGTACAAAAAAGAGGTCCAGTTTTCTGGTGGTTGATTGATTTTTTTAAAAACTGCACAGGGAAGAGTTGATTGGTAGCTAAATATTCCAATATCATTCCCCTATAAGTTTTTCACGACTGCTTACTCACCCCAGTTCGAAAAAAGACAAAAAATTCAAATTTCTTTATTATGACTCGAATATACATCAAACTACAACTAGAATAAATACAACAAAAAATGAATGTATTTATAAAACAACAACTAGAATAAATAATAATAACAAATTAATGTTTTGCTGTTGAATTTGTTGTATAATTCATAATAATCATTCAGCCTGATTCTGATCTCATTAACCCCTGAGTGAACCATTCACCCAGTTGAGAAGCACTGAACTAAATGGAGCCAGATCTTATTTCACTTCACAGACTCGACTCGCACTCTGAGGGTCGCGAGTTCGAATCCCCGTTCCACCAAACATGCTCGCCCTTTCAGCCGTAGGGGCGTTATTATGTGACGGTCAATCCTACTATTCGTTAGTAAAAGCGTAGCCCGAGCGTTGGCGGTGGGTGGTGTTAACTAGATGCATTCCCTCTAGTCTATCACTTCTAAATTAGGGACGGCTTGCGCGTAGCTATGCGCAAAATTCAAACCAAACCACTTCACAGATCAGGAGCTTATGTATTTGATAAGACAAAAACACTGAGCCACCTATTAGGCTAAATATAAAACGAAGTGAAAACTGGATCCCAGGGTATTAAAACTGGTTCCCAGGGGATTCGTATTGGTTTACATGAATTCAAGAAGAGATCAAAATGTTAACGAAGTGAAAACTGGTTCCCAAAGGATTTCGTATTGGTTTACATGAATTCAAGAAGAGATCAAAATGTTAACGAAGTGAAAACTGGTTCCCAAAGGATTTCGCATTGGTTTACATGAATTCAAGAAGAGATCAAAATGTTAAAGATGAGAAAAAGAAGAACATCCCTATTGTATTTCCCAGGCATGAAGTTTATTTGAAAAACAAACAAACATACAAATTGTTTTGAATCATGTTCAAAATGTTTTATTTCATAAGAACATTTTAATACGTTTAGATAAATTATAGTTTAGTAGAATAAAATGTTCGTTAAGCGAATAAAGTAATATTATCAAAAAAAGTCTGCTTTCAAGTATTTTTATGACGTATATCTTGGAAGACGTGCTGAGCTAAGAACCACTGGTAGTTATAATTCGTGTTATTTCACAGCACGAAACTTATGGTGCTTCAAATACCACCAAAACCTATCTAACGTTGATGTAAAGCTACATCTCGGTTTACACACACGTATGTATCCAATTAACTGCAAATCCCCACGGAGCACACGCTTCTTTTCCCACATTTTACACAAACAGTACAATGTTTGAGATATCAAATAAGGGCTAAAGAAAAATGTTAAAACAAACTGAAAAATAAAATAATGTGTTGTTATACGTTATTATTTTACCTGAAAGTTTTATTTCGGGCAACTAATGAGATTCTATTAGTTTATCCGCAGTTCTACGACAAAAAAAAAAAATGAAGAACAGAAAAACGTGAAACAAACACCTGCATCAGGAGTAATCCTCTTATGATTGCTCCTACTAAAAGAATCAACTGGCTCCTACTAAAAGAATCAACTGCTCCT